GGACATTTAGGTACGCTTCTTGTAGTCCCAGCACTGGTGAAGTGGAGACGGGCAAATCTCTGGTACTCATTAGCCAGTCAACTTAGACCAATTGGTGAGCCTTGGATCTTAAAAAGAAAAACAAAACAAAACAACAATAACAACAAAAACAGGGAATGGCTTCTAAGGAATGACCCCAGAGGTTAACCTCTGACCGCCATGTACATGGGCACACACATGTACAAGCACGTGTACACACTGGAATGAATGCATACATGCACACACACTGACAACTTTGTTAAGTATCCCGAAAAAAAATCTAATTTTCCATTTTATTTATGGATAAAATTAAGCAAAATGCATTAGAAGAAAATGTGCCCAGACTGAGGTAATTAATTATGCTAAGGAACAAACTAAAGGAATTTATCAACTATTCACAGGGAAAAAAAAAAAACAGTGAATGAATAAAAGACACATCTGGTTGTAGTGATTTGAATGAAATGTTTCCCATAGGCTCAGATATTTGAACACTTGGTCCCCAGCTGGCAGCGCTGTTTGAGGAAGGGTAGGCGATGAGGCCTTGTGGGAGGAAGTATTAACACTGGAAATATACTTTGACAGTTTAAAAATTCCATGCCACTTCCAGTTCCCTCTTTCTGCTCCTCCTTTTCAGAGAGGATGTGAGCTCTGGGCCTCCCGCTCCAGCTGCCACACCTGCCTGCCAACATGTCTCCCCACCACTCCTAGCCCTCAGGACCATAACCTCCAACAAAACCTTCCTTCTATAATCTCCCTGTGTCATGGTGTTTGATCACAGCAACAGGGAAGTAGCTAATACAGTGGTAGAGCTGTTTCCCATTTCCAGGAAGTAAGGAAGACTACCAACAGAAAGATTTTAGCGTTATGACTCTGTAGCTGTAATGCTTTCTACAAACTATTGGTCTGTAGGTTCATTTGAAAAAAAGGGGGGGGGGATTAGGTCATTGGCAGAAATTCTCCCTTTGCTCTCCCTGGAAGCAAGGATCCTATTCTTAGAGTCTAAGTGGGTCTTTACTCATCTCAGCTTCTGATAATTTAAGCGTAGAGCTTCAGGTAGTACAATACCGTGGTGGTGGTACCGCATGACAAGTACTAACAGTGACCCAGAAGCCTGTAGCTGGGTTCTCTGTTTATGAGAACGACAAATGAGGAGATTGATCAGTACTGAAAAGGACTTTAATCTTTTGCGTATTTATGATAAATTAAAAGAAAACACAGAAAAGCCAGTGGTGGAATTGATCCCATAAACTCTTTGTTCCTCACGTGAGTATTAAACTGAAAAGCTTTACCCCATCATTTGAAGAGACAAGTGTGCTTCTGAGAACTGTCCAACACACTAATGGTCTATAATTAGGGAGATAAATGGTTCCCCTTTCCCATCAAAGGGAGTGCTAACCCCCCAATTATACCAAGAATCTCAGCCTAAGGCTCCAGATTTTCCACCTTCTACATGGTTTAGTAACCAGAGGCTGAGAACCTGGCAAATGCAACTGACAAAGACCTGCACTGGGCACTCATTCTCCAATCCACGCTGGGTTCCTTCAGAACAACTGCCGCATCTCTTTACACTTCTGTGTGGTAGCCCCTTATCTAGAGACAGTCCCATATTGATACAAAGTTCTGGTCTAATTTATTAATGACACATCTTTCATCCTCCTCATGATCTCAGTTTAATCACTAAAGGCTACTGCTACCTCTAGCTCTTACCAACCTCCTGTGGAGCTCACTGTCCCCAGGGTTTTCCATGAGCACTGAGATCTCCCTCTATCCTAAACATTCAGCATTTGAAAACAGTGCCAGTCTCAGAGTTAACCAACTAAAGAGCAGTTGAGATTTAAAAAAAACAACAACAACAAAACACCAGCTCTCTGTATGACTGAGGAGGTCCCTTGGCTTAATAAAGACTGGCTTAATAAAGAGTTAAATGTCCAATAACTAGGCAGGAGAGAATAGTGGGGACTTCCGGGCAGTAAAAAAGAGAAACTAGGAGGAGGATTGGAACCATTAGAACATGCTGTACAAGGAAAGGTGAAAGCCATGTAACAAAATACAGGTTAACAGAGCAGGTTAAATTGAGTTATAAGAATCTAAGCTAAAGGCCAAGCTTTCATAATTAGTAATAAGTCTCTGGGTCATTATTTGCAGGCTGGTGGTCCAAAGATAGTCCAACGAAAAAGCTTGCTGTAACAGAAAGCAAGGGCATTAAAGTCAATGGTTTTTAACAAAAAGCGTCATCCTAGCTGAAATCAACCCAGTTTTAGGCCCTCTACTCGTATCTGATTAACTTCTATGCACCAGGTCTATCTGAGAAGGAGAGTTTTGGTCTGAGGATTTTCTTAGGATATTGGCACAGCACAAAGGGTGGAGGTCCTGTTACAGTCTACTTAAGCATTTCCTGAAGGCAAATGAACTTGACTCTTCTGTAGTACCCATGGGGTCTGTTTTGTCTGTCTGTTTTTCGGACAAGGTTCTTGATATTCAGGCTGGCCCAGAACTAGATATGTAACTGATGATGGCCTTGAAATCCTGATTCTCCTGCCTCTACCTCCCAGGTACTAGAATTATAGACATGTACCACCATGATTGGATGGCTAAAAATTTGTTATCATATCCCAAACTTCCAGAACAGTGCATTCTTTTAATCCTAGCACTCGGGAGGCTGAGGCAGGTGGATCTCTGTGAGTTCAAGGCCAGCCTGGTCTACAAGAGCTAGTTCCAGCACAGGCTCCAAAGCTACAGAGAAGCCCTGTCTTGGAAAACCAAAAACCAAAAACCAAAAAATAAAAAAGAAAGAAAAAAGAAAAAGAAAAAACTTTGGAATGATTTTCCATCCAAGTTTGTTCCCAAGAACAGTTCTGTCCTCTTCAAAGGCCTATGGGACTTGACTCCCATTCTGAAGAACTGTAGATTTATAAATAGACTTCCATTACTGTCCTGGTTTGTTTTATGTCAACTTGATACAAACTAGGGTTATCTAGGAAGAACATCAACCAAAAAAATACCTGTATGACATTCTTTTTTCCAATTTTTTTTTTTTGAGTCTGTGTATGTAGCCCTGGCTTTCCTAAAATTCACTGGGCTCCAGCTCAGAGATCCCCCTTCCTCTGCCTCCCAAGTGCTGGGATTAAGGGTGTGCTCTACTACACCTAGTTTATATGGGGGATTTTCTTGATTAATGATTAATATGAGAGGGTCCAGCCCACTGTGCAAGGGGCAGCCCCTGGGCAGGTGGTCCTGGGTGCCATAAGAAAGCAGTTGAGCCAGCCATAGGGACTGAGCCTGGAGTACTTCTCTGTGGTCTCTGCCTTCAGATTCCTGTGAGTTTCTGCCATGGCTCCTCCTGGGGATGGGCTGGAACCCGGAAGCCAGATCACCCTTTCCTCCCTTAGCTGCTTTGGATCATGGTGTTTAATCACAGCCATAGAAACTTAACTCGAAAACTCAGCATTTGTAATTCTATCGAGATAGGTAGGTGGGTATCTTAGCCAATTTACTTTTCCATCCTTGCCGAACGCCCATGGGTGCTCTGTTTTCCGTAAGAGATTTGCGTTTGCTTTCATCTGCTCATTAACGACGACACGCATGTCAGTTTTCTTATTAGTTGCTTTATACTTCAGTAATTTCTACTTAATTAGCGAGAGAAACTGCAAAGGTGAGAGGTGAAGTCTGAAGTCAGTCTCTTTCAAAGCCAAAATCGAGCGCTAGATTAAGTCCTGAGGAGAGGCGGGATCAGAAGAACAGGCGAGGATGCTGGGCAGAGGAAGCAGAGCAGACGCTACAAGGCAGGAAGTTGCCATGCCTCGGATCAGAAAGGAAGACTTTCGGGCTCTCAAAGGGACCCCCTCACCTCTATAGTCCATCATTTATGTTTGAATTCTCCTGTGTCCTTTCCATCTATCTTGTTTTCATTGAAATTCTGAGTGAATCTCTAGCCATTGAATCTGGTAATCCACTGAAACCTCTACAGATCCTGTTAATTAGAGTCTTCGTGTCCCTGCAATCCCGGGGAGCTGTCGGTAAGAGCCTAACAGCACATGGAGAGCAACTTCGGATAATGAAGATTTACAAGGTCCTGTTTGTTCAGGTGTGTGCGCACGTGGGCTGTGGTAGAATGTTGGGAAAAGGGGAGTAGCCTGAGGATCAGATCTGTGGTGGGTAGCTACTCCTGGCCTTGAAAACTTAAAAGGAAATACCACTTTGTTCCCTATATGACTGGGACACAGAATCGGAGGGCAGAGAGGCAGTGTTTTAGACCAAAGAACAAAGCAGCCCGAGGTGATGCCACAGCCAGCCATAAGCCCTCCTCTTCCCGTAACATACTAGGATGGAGTCAGTGTGCAATAGAGACTTCTCTACGTGTCTACATGATTTCATTTCTCGGAACTGATGTAGTAAAGGGGGCGGGGGGAAGCTGGCTACATTGCCATTTAGCTGAATAAATTTGCAGACGGCGGCTTCCTAAGAAAGGAATCAAGTTTCTGTTCTTGTAGCTAAGGTAGGAACTAAGTCTCTGGAAGGCAATAGGAGTCCCTGTCTGCGAATGCAAACACATCCTACTGCCCTAAGTGCCTCCCAGGCAGAGCGAGGCAGGCCTGGTGCACCAGCATGTTTGGAAGTGTGAGCTCATCAGCCTGGGAGAAGCCTTTCTGAACCGGGGAGCAGCGGCTGGTTGCAGGGAGCCATAATGAGAAGCGGCAGCAGTGTGAAATTCTGTCACTGCCCGGGAGGCACCTGGAAACAAGGCTGAAAATAGCTCAGGCAGAATCCCAGTTTCAGGACAAAGATGGGAGCACTGCTTTTAGCAAGAGGCTTCCTTCATGCCGTTTAGAGGACCCGTGGACACCATCCCGGTGTGTTATTTTTATTCCAAACCCCCAGAGCAACCGTGGGCCATAGTTACCTTCCCTGGCGCTAGAAAAAACAAGATATCTCAGTAGTCCTTGGAGAGCTACATGGAGGGGCACAAATAGAGGATAACGTACCAGGGCTGGGACCCACGACAAGTCTGCATGACAAACAGCCAGTGAACATTTGGACTCCTTCTCACTTTCCGTTCTCCTTGTAGAAATGAAAATATTCCCTTTCAGCGCCGGCTTTGGGTCAAACAGTCTTGTCCTCCATTCTCAAATCCATTCTATGAAATTCAATATGGCCTCCTCACAGTGGCATTCTCTGAGGAATAAGTACATTCTCTGCCAACTTCTCATTCATTCTCCCCTAAAATGATGAAAGTTTTCATTAAATATTAATATTTATCACCTTTCCATCAGAAAAGAAGTAACCAAGTTCTTAAATATGGTCATCAATTCCAGAACATAAAACTGAATCAATATAATTCAGTAGGTTGGTACTGCCTGGTGCACAAGGCACTGAGAACAATAAGATGTGTTTAAGATAACTTAATCTTCAAAGAAATGGATACATATAAAGAATTATAAAATAGCACATTACATAAAGTAAGACTTCGCATTTTATTTTTTTTAAAGTAATGTCATTGCAAAAGAGAACCCACTATTTGACTTTGAGTGGAAGCAAACGGGGTATGAACTTGGCTTCACACAGCGAAGAAGAACCCATAGGACAGCTAATACGGAGAGAGCATTTCGAGTAAAGAGACAGCAGTAGGTGCAGCAAAGTTGTCCAAGCAAGTGAGTGTGTCAGAAGGAGAAATGAGCGGGCCCTGCTGAACCATAGCATCTCCAGGGGAGAAGATGGAAAGCAGTCAGGGACCAGGTGACACCCAGCAATGGGCGAAAGATCTTTACCAGGTTGTATTCAGATGGATCTAATGGCATGGTGCAATTTCAAAATAGGTTCTTTTCTATTTTTATTTGTTTGTTTGTTCATTCTTTTTGCTCAATAATTACATGAGGGTGTTTATGTAGTTCCCTACCAGTTCTACCCTGAGAGGAATTCTTCTTAGCCTGGAGAGGTAGACAGTAACAGCAGCTACAGAGAACTTCACACAGGTGCCTCAAGTGGACCCATGGAAACAAAATGCTGCTAAAGGCTAGCGAGTGACAGCAAAGTGCTGAAGGTGACCTGGTGGGGGTAGGGTCAGAGACTTGGGGCTGTCTCCTGACTGACTGTGAACAGTTGTTAGTAGTGGTTCAGGAGAGGTTTCCTGGGGCTGCGGGAACAAACCACCACGAACTGGTTGGCTTAAAACAACCGAAATGTATTTTCTCAGAGCTCTGAAGGCCAGGAAGCTGAGATCAACTCCTTCTGGGGCTTAAGAAGAAAACCTTCCCTTGCCACTTCTAGCCTTTGGTGGCTTCCTTGGCTTGTGAGCACATCCCTTCGGTCTCTGCTTCCGCTTCTGCATTGCCTTCTCCTTGCTTCTCTTTCTTCTGCTATTATCATGATGTTTGCTATAACAGTGAAGGCTCACCTGGCCAAACCAGTGCAATCTCATCTTAAGATCCTTAATTATGTATGGTGCAGACTTTTTCCAAATAAGGCGACATTCACAGTGTCTAGAATGTCAGCATGGACATGTCTTTGAGGGGGTGGCGCCGTTCGCCCTGCTACTGAGACTCATCTTACTTCTGCAGCTGTGTTGAGATCTCATGCAACATCATACCCTATCATTTGCAAACTACTACATGTGATTGGGCCTGGTCCGGAGTTGTCAGTGGCCAATGACCTTGTGGGTGTGGCAGTTAGAATTAAGATGCTCAGAAGTCAGTGGTGAGGGATAAGGATGCACCTCTCTTGGTCGTGTTTGACTGGCACGCGGGAAACCTTGGGCGTGATGGTGGCCACTGTAAACCCTGAGCGTGGTGCGGAGGCAGGAGGCTGAGCTGTTCCAGTTCATCCTTGGCTACGTAGAAAGCTTAAGGCCAGGCTGGGATGCACAGGCCCCTGTCAAATAAACAAACAAACTAAAACTCAGTGGTGACCTGAAGGCCGAAGTGAGGAGAAGGCTATCCTGTGATTCTCACAAAGCCACTGATGAAGGTGGGAATGTAGGGAGAAAGTGATAGTTCAGGGTTCTCATATAATGCAAGGAACAGTGAACACATTCTGTAGTGGGGAGGGCGTTTGTTTGTTTCCTGGCGGCCCAGACTCCCAAAATAACCTCACAGAAACTGTATTAATTAAATCACTGCTTGGCCAATCACTTAAGCATATTGCTAGCTAGTTCTTACATCTAGAAGTAACCCATCTCCATTATTTTATATTTTACCATGAGGCTCATGGCCTACCAGCAAGGCTTCAGCATGTCTGTCTCCAGCGGTGGCTCCATGGCTTCTCTCTGACTCCGCCTCCCTTCTCCCAGCATCCAGTTTAGTCCCCATCTTCCCTCCCTGCCTAGTTCTGTTATGCCCTTCTCTGCTATAGGCTCAAAGCAGTTTCTTTATTCATTAACCAATAAAAGCAACACATAGACAAGAAGGACCTCCCACACCACACATTCTGCCCAACCCTTACCTGCAATTCAGAATTTCCATTTTTGCCATTTTTCTTCAAATGGCCATGTAATGTTAGTCTAAGCAGTTGGCTCTGTTGTGTCTGATTTCCTTGCCTCTCCTTCACCAACTCGACACTGAATGAGAGACGAGGGCCCTGTTTGTTTTTCCCCAAAATGCTCATTTACGGTTGTTGATGGTGTTTGTTGGCTGTGCTAGTTCTTAAACTCTTACGCAGGGATGATTGACACCTGGAAAAGCTGGGCATGCTTAAATCTTTACAACTTGCTAAGTTTAGAGATAAGCAAACCACGTGCTAAAATGTGTCTTTGAGTGAATGGGCACCTCCAGTGACAGGGAGATGAGGGGCCTAGTTAAGAATGCGAATGGCTGAGTTATAAAGGGCTTCTCGTTTAGGGCGACTTCAGTCGTGTGTTCTTTTCTATGAAGTTGCTTACTTGTTCCCTAGAGTGACTTAGAGAGAGACTAACATCCTCTGCATAAAAATGTTTCTCAAATACATTCGACAGAACTATTGTGTCCCCTGCGGCTTCTTCTTCACTTAAATCCCTTCATTTCCTTTAACCTTCGGGCCCTGTGTCAGTCCTGTTGGAGAACCGCTCCTCACATCTGCTTGGTCTCCTTCCATTCGCCCAGCAAATATGTGCGCACATCCTCAGCTGAGTGTGCCGTACAAAGGCTATGTGTTCAAAATGGGAAAACACAGGCAACACCTCCCTTCAGCTCGCAAGTGTTTTTTCTGAAGTTCTTGAAGCTAACAGTCCTCAGAGCTAAGACCAGTTGTCCCTTCCTCTGTCTGGGGATTGTACGTTCTCTGTTACTGATTATTAAAATAGAGGCTATTATTGTTTTCCAATTAATCTTCTGAACTACCGGATGCACTATCCCTTGTTTGTTTAAACATGAGTCATGGATTTTTTTATTTTGTGTGCATGTTTCGCCTGTACGTATGTCTGTGTTCATACCACGTTCATACCTAGCACTTGCGGAGGTTAGAAGGAGCCAGATGCCCTGAACTAGAGTTACAAATAGTTACGAACCACCGTGTGGGCACCAGGAGCTGAACCTGGGTCCTCTGCAAGAATAACAAGTGCTCTTAACCACTGAGTCACCTCTCCAGGCCCAAACTGTGATTTTAAATTCTGATACAAGTGCATACTTACAACTGGAAAATGTACAATATATCATAGACTTCCATCCCCCGCTAAGAGAATGCACGATATGCTAACGGTAATGCAATGACGGGACATGAGCCCACACAATCCACGAGGGCTGGGTATTTAGGGGGCATCTCTGAGAAGCAGGTGCTGTGTGGAGCCAGGAGTTGTGAGCGGCTTCTTGGAGGCTCAGGCTAAATCATGTCTTCGGTGAAGCACACCTCGATCATTTGACTGGGGGACCCAGAGTCCCCTTTCCTCTTTTTTTTCTATAATTTTATGCGTGTTTCTCTTTTTAATAATGGAATAAACCCACAATAAGATGAAGGGGACGTCGACCAAACTAATAGGCATTCTTCCATTACAAATGTCTTTAATTTATTTCTTCACTCAGGCACTCTCCCGGGCTTTAGGAATGACATTCTTCTTTAAGGGACCACAGATGTCTGACTTAAAATTCCGTATTTGTGACATTTCAATATTGCTAGCCTCGTTTTTTTCCTAATGAAATTATGAGAAAACAAAATCTGCTTGGCCCACAGCACTTTGGCTGTGATCCAAAAGCCTTTCCATTACCACGAAATCCCACACTCTGCAGACCTAGCTGCAGAGGAGCTGCACGTGCTTAGCAAGCAGCTGTCTGTGATCCCAATGCAGGAACACGTCCCAAAGCAATAGCACGAGGAAAGAGAAGCATGGACACTTCTTTTTTTTAAGTTCTATGGAATCTGTTTCTGCTCTGGTCAAGTCCGGGTCCAGTTGATGCTTTTAAGTGGAAATATAAAACTTCGTACCTCACTTAAATTTCAATATCGTTTTACTTTTTGAGACAAGGACGTTCTGTGTGACCCCGAATGGCGTCGATGCGCTACCTCTCCTGTCTGAGCCTTCCGAGGGTTTGGGTGACAGGGGTGCACCACCACCCGTGGCTTTCATTCTATTTGGGCCCCAAAGAGCACATCTTAAGATTGTTTGCATGTGTACAGCATTAAGTTGGTCAGCTATAGGCAATATTTAGAGCAAGAGCCCATAGGCAATGGTTAGAAAAAAGGCCAGGATACAAGAAAAGTTTAGAAAGACGAAAGACGTATAAATATACTAAGTGTGTACAGGTAAAAAACAAAAACAAAAACAAAAAAAAAACCAGCCCAAACTGTTAGTTGTTTTAATTTAATAAATCCTAAATTTAAATAAAAACATCTAATAAGTCAGTCAGATCTCTTGCTCAATGAATATTTTTGGTTTTGTTGTTTGTTTGTTTTCTGAGTTTTCGTTAGTTTGTTTGTTTGGAGGACAGGGTCTTCCTGTGAGTCTAGGCTGGCCTCAAATTTGTGATCCTCCTGTCTCAGCCTCCCTGTTCTTAAAATGCAGGTATTTCTACATCTACAACACCACAGTTACACATCTGGGTTTATACAACCCGTGCTTTTGCTTTGTTGAGATGGGGTCATGCTCTGTAACCTAGACCAGCCTTGAACTCATGGTAACCCTACTTCTACGTCAACTTCCCACGTGCTGGGCTTATAGATGCGCCTACCACACTCAGTAGAGTTTTCCGTTCTGCAGTCTTGGTCCAACACTAAGTACATAGCCAATGCTGAACATTTGTAAAACGAATGCACTAAGTGAAAGGAGGAGCAAATAAATGCTGTGAGTCTTTGCTGCTTTTTTAGTAGAGACGTGTGTCACTAAATGTTTATGTATTCTGACACCCCTATTCAACCTGCAAACACAGCCCACCTACCCTGATTATCACTGTAGACAGAATGCTGCATGAATCTGACGTTCTTTGTCCTTGCTCAATGGCACTCTGCCATAATTAACATTTAGCTGAAAAATTTTATACAGATATCTATCTTTAAATTTTACCATGACTAGAATACAATTTTGTCTGCAGTGTTTTCCAAACGCTACCGTGCCCCAGATCAATGAGGTAATTCATTTTGATGACTGACATCTTTGCGAGTCATTAGAAAATCTGATGATCTTCAATGATAGTTACAGGCACGTCTCACACATACACTTAGCAAAAGCCAAATTAAGTTGCAGGAAGGGTGTGCTTGCACATGCACATGAGTGCGCATGAGTGTGTGTGTGTGTGTGTGCGTGTGAGCAATGTGGATTTCTGGGGTGTTGCTTATCATATTGGGACAGTATTAGCCTTTGCCTGTCAGTCAATTCTGCAGGGCTCTCCCTCTTCCGCTGTTTGAATGAGCAACTGAGCACTTGGCCACAGAGAAGAAAGCGAAGTATATCCCACATTAAGGGCCTTCTTGAAGTTTTCTCCATTGCCGCCAGCATGTTCAACACTGCCAGAGTATGATTAACCTCAGGAGATCAGCTCCCACTGTTGCACAGTGCGTTTAAAAACACAGGAGCTAATATTACATGATGTCACAGAGACAAAGCCTCTGCAGGTAAAAACGAGCATCAAGCAGATAAGCATTCTCTGACTGGGAATACATAATGCTAAAACATCTTAAAATAATTAGCCCTCACGCTGGAAACACTCTGTTCCTGATGAGGACTGCCCAAACTTGTTTGTGAACAGCTCCATTTTATGTCTGTAGCGTTTAGTGCACTAATTCATGTGCTTACAGTTCAATCCATGGTTCATTAAACTGTTTTGGTGCTTAGGCCATTCACTGATCTAAGAGAGTCACAAGTGTCACTGTTAAAATCAAGCCTGCTGTTTCCTTCAGTTAAAGAAGAGAAAAAGCTATTTCTGCTTATGATTCTGGGATTGTGCTGCTTGATTAAAAACACATCCCATGCTCCTATGTACATCCAAAATATTATCAGAACCTCTCCATAACTAACTGGCCTGATCAATTGTTTGGATGTCAACGAGGTCCACATGGTGAATTGGGCAGTACAACTATGAGGTTGGGGTAGGTTGAGAACCCCTCATCTCTAGTAGATGGGTCATGGGAAAATAAATTGACAAGATCACAATTCTAATCTTGGCTGAGCCTTCAAACAAAGGCATAGCTTGTTCAAAAGAGGACTCGCCACTAAGCACGCTTGGTTCTCCTCAACATGTAATGGTAGGTTGGGTAGGTGCACCTACTTTTGTAGGTGAAGGATTTGGAAATGTTTCCAGGGTGAGGCCTTGGATTAGTGTCAAAGCTAAGATTCTCGATTCAACAGCAGTGTTACTGGGATAGTGTGTGGAAAGACTGGAATATAAAGAATGATGATTCTTACATAGGACATATCCATGTGCTAAAAACTGAAAAGAGGGCAGACAGGGTGAGCAGACTGCTGGATTTTGAGGAGTTGAATGTGCCAGCAAAAAAAGATAACCAATAAGCTAAACAGTCTCACATGCGATACAGCAACTGAACCCCTTGGTGCTTACCCACCTTATTTGAGAATTTATAAACACACACACACACACACACACACAAACCCACTGCATGGAACTCTTTACAATAGCCAAAAATAAAGAACTAGCATTCAATAAGGAAGTGGATAAGAAACTGTGATATGTCCAGATGATAAAACAACATTTCATGGTTTAAAAAATGAGCTACCAAGTTACAAAGAGACATTAATGTTAAATTAGAAAAAGAGCCAAATGAAAGAGGCCAGCCTGAAAGCTACGTACTTTTTGATTCCTAATACAAGATATTCCAGAAAATACAAAACTACAGAGATGGTAAAAAAAAAAAATGTCAGTGATTTCCCAGAGCCCAGGAAGAGGGAAGGAGCATTGACTAGAGAATTTCTTAAGGTGGTGAAGCTGTTCTATATGACAATGTGGCTGTGGACAACTGATACTGTACACATGTGAGACCCCTCAGGATGTTCCAGCGTGAGTAGGAACTGTCTTATGTGCAAATCTAGAGAATCATGTAGGAGGTTGAGAGCTCCTATGACAGAAGGTAGAGAGTGACAACATCATCTAATGATATGAAGATGCAGGAAGCAACACTGCTGAAAGGGATGTGAGGCCGAGTCGGAAAAGCTGAAGAAGTAGAAGTAGACATATCAAATACTTTAATAGATGCAGCTGCTTTCCCTTGTTTCAGTTAACGTTTCTAGTACTGCTCCACATTCATACTGGAACTGAGCAGTGAAAGGTGTGCTTGGTGAATAGTTGAGAACCAGGTTTCGCACAGAATGCATGGATGAGCAACGAGAATAGGACACACTGGTCCACATGAAAACGATTAGAACCGGAGATGCCAGTATGAGCTCACCTCAGCTAAACATTAATGCATATGGTTCCATGTAGGTATACAATAGACACACTGATGTATGTGCAGAAGCTAATATACGTTTGTGTGTGTGTGTGTGTGTGTGTGTGCGTGTGTATTTTCTCATTCTGTCGATGATAGAATTCGGAAAGCAATGGCACCCCAGCAAGAAGAGGTTCTTAGTTCATATGCCATTCTCCAGGTACAGGAAACAGTGTTTCGTAGGGAAATTGCTGATTCTTGGGTCAGCATGTGCATAGGACAATCCTGGTGAGTCTTGTAGTAACAGATATTAAGGAAATGTTTTACACACACACACACACACACACACACACACAAGCAATCTTGATCCTGAGAAACATCAGATGGGACAGAAGGAGGCAGTGGAAGTTACAGAGAGAGCTGTTTTTGTAAAAGCGCTATCCACTTTCACTTCTGTAATGCTCGACAAATTGAGATATAAAACAAAGGAGTGGGCCGGGTGGTGGTGGCGGCGCACACCTTTAATATCAGCACTCGGGAGGCAGAGGCAGGTGGATCTCTGTGAGTTCGAGGGCAGCCTGGTCTATGAGAGCTAGTTCCAGGACAGACTCCAAAGCTACAGAGAAACCCTGTCTCGAAAAACAAAAAACAAAAACAAGAAAAAGCAAAGGAGTGGGCAGTAAAAGTAATATCCCTGTGCTTATGGCATCTCTTATTGTTCTGACGACGCATATATTAGTCTAATAGTTTGGGGGAAAACTAAAGCTGAATATATGTATATTCTATGCCCCAGCAATTCCACTTATAGAAATATACTCAATAAAATATGCACGCTTGTTCATGAAACAGCGTGTACTAGAATGTTCACAGTAGCACTATTTATGATCCTAGAGCATGCTCACTTGTCCTGCAATGAAGGCGTAAGTCACAGACAATCCCACACCAGTTTGGAATTATGATTAATATAATGGTTATTTATTCAAAGGGGAAAAAACTTACAGATTACCGTCCCAGACAACAGCCCCTCCGCGCGAACAGGAAAGGAGTCCAGGGGCCGGAAACGGAGCCGGAAGACAAAGAGAAAGTGGAGGACAGCCGCTGCTTTTTTTAAAGGGAGAGACCACGCCCCAATGGGCTGGTAACTCAGCGGCGATTGGCTGAAGGAACTCCCACAGCACTGCAATAGTGTAATGATAGATACATCCTGTTACACTCACATAAAGGGTTTATTAGAAGAATATAATACTAAAACCATAACTACAGGAAGCAATATGGGTGGCTGATACAAGTACCCTATGGAGACAAAGAAGTCAGATACCAAACAATATTGTGTTGGCAATTTTCTTGTTGCTATAATCAAATATCTGATAAAAGGGAGGAAATCAAAGGGAGGAAAAGTGAAGAAGGACGCTCAAAAGAAATCCCACCCTAGCTCAGAATTGAGAAATAGATGGTTATTTATTTAGGGGTAGACTCACAAATCAGAATCCTCTGTTTGCACGGAGATCAGAAAACGAATCTGGCTACCGGAACAGAGAGGCCAGAAAAGAGGCCGGACGCATGCTCTACATCAGCATATATAGTGTAAGAGGCCACGCCCCAGTGGGCGGGTAACCACTAGCTGTAAGACTTCCTACAGCAGAAAAGAGTTAATTTTGGTCACAGTTTGAGGTTTGAATCAGGGAAGTCATGGCAGCCAGACCACAAGGCAGCTAGTCCATAGGGAGCAGATGAAGTCCTGTGTGAATATTTGTTATAGACTTGAGCAATGTCGTGTCAAGGACTCCAGTACTTCAGACCCATGGGACAGGCAAGGCCTCCCCCCCCCACCCCGTCTGCGAACGGATGTTGACAGTGTGTACAGAACATATCAGCCACAGCTTCGTCCTCCAGGATGATTGCAGCCTGAGGGTATGGCCCTTCAGACCTCCTATTGGGCAGCTAGCCTGTCTCTTCCTTCAGCTGTGTGCAATAAACCCACTGCCTGCTCATTCCTGCCGCATATAAATGTGCTGTGTTTCCAGGCTGCAGCAGCTGCTTCCCCATCCGACCACACAGCTCACCTGGTTCGAACTCTTCTCTGTGTGTGTCACCCCTGCCAGGTCAGTCTCAAAGGCGGCACCAGCGATGGTGCCTCTTCCATAAGGAAGCAGAGAGGAGTGAATGCTAGCGTTGAGGTCCATTTCATCCGTTTCGTTCTGTTAAGCCCAGTTCAAGGGTCTCAGAGCAGGTGTCCCTGCTCAGTGAAGCCCTTCTGGAGGCACCCTCATAGACACACCCAAAAAAGGAGTTTCCATGGTGATTCCAGGTCACATCGTGTTGAGTAGAAGAACCGTAATTCCATTCATGCAAAGGACAGATGCAGACTGTGAGTATTAAATTCAGCTTAGGATAGTTGCTGTCCTTGGGTGAAGACAGTGGTCACGAAGGACTTCTTGGCTGTGAATAATTTTTTTTTTCTGAAATGAGTATGTTACTTGGGTGTGCTTCACTGTGACAATTATAGAGCTATGCTCTTAAGAAATATCCCCTCTGCCACATATTGTATAATTTAATAAAAAGTTTGTGAACTTTTCTCTTGATCCTGCCTTTCCATCAAGCCAGCACTCCACCTATCTCTTTCCCTTTAAAGGATATATTCTAGAAAGAATGGTCTTTGCTCACACTCTTGAACCCAACCCAGCAAGGCTTCTGGCCAAGATTCTACACGGCTGACTCTACTGAGATCAGTGATGACCGACATATAACCAAATCCCATGGCCAGCGTATCAGGAATGGTCCCTACAGGATTACCACTCTCTCCATACCCACCTGGCTTCGACACTTATTGTCACTCTCTGGGGAATGATGAAGCCTAGTAGCTTGAGAAACCAGGGACATGCTGCGGTCTCCCTAATTTATATCTTTAGTCAGATTTCTTCTTGTTACACGGTACCTGTACATCCAATTGTCTCCTGAGTACTCTCATTTGGCAGCCTAACAGTCGTGGCAGACCTAATGTATCCCAAGCTAACTTCCTGATACCTAAGACAATCTTCTCAGGTCTACTGCATCCCCCTAGGATCCCAGACTCCTCTTGGGTTTCTTTTTTCTCCACGACCAAATAGTCAGAAATATCTGACTATTCAAATACCTTCAAAATACATCAGAGTTTTCCCAATTCTTACCTCCTCCACTCATACAACCCTGGTCCAGACAATTATTTCTCATCTAGATAACTTCAGCAACTTTTCAAAAAGCTTCTGCCCTTGCGGCTCACAAGGAATGGTCCTAGATGATACTAATTCAAATCGACTCATTTGGCTGCTCCTAACGTGCTCCATCTTACTTAGAAAAAAGGCAAATTTCCAAGGGATGGACTTCAAAAGCTTGACCAGTAACCAGTCCTCATCTTCCAAAACTCTTCCCTGAGTGCTTTGTCTCGGACACACTGGGTCTTATCTGTTTCTTGGACTGAAGGGCTAAACAGTTGGGCTTCCCATAGACTGTCTTTAGAAGGCTTTTCCCCTGATACACAAGTCCTGCTTCTCCTATTTCTTTAGATGTTTACTCAAATGTCACCTATTATTTTAAAAAAAATCTAAACTTTCATATAGACTTTTAATACTCTTTCTTGGCATTATTTCTCACACTCTGTGTGTGTGCATGTGTGCATGTGTGTCTGCCTGTGTGTGCATGTGTG